CTGAGCCTGCGCGTCCGGAGCCTGTGCTCCGCAGCGGGAGAGACCACAACAGTGAGAGGCCCGTTGGTTAAAAAAAAAAAAAAAAAAAAAAAGGCGGGGAAGGGGCAAGCGCTGGTCGGAATATTGTCTTTGTACTAAAAATGGGAGCCGTGCAATGCTTCTTGCCAGCAGAGCAGCATCAGATTATACCTCCTCTGTCCAGCCTGCTCATTGAAGGCTCCGGGTAGTAGCAACAGTACTGTATTTGTAACTATCTCGCGGTAAGAAGTTGCCTTCCCAGCGAGGGCTATATGCTGACTTAGAAAGGAGCGGTCTGGAACTCAACCGTGCATGTCAAAGCTACAAGAAAATTCTGTTGCCAGTTGCCATGGAAGCAGCTTCTTGCTCCTGTGTACATCCCTGTTTGTACGCTGTTATCAGATTGTGTTCAAATTAGAAAGTAATTGGGTTTGATTTGTAGTGAGGGGTTGAGGCGCCTTTCTTTTTTTTTTTTTTCTTTTAATGCGTTTTTTTGGTGCTGAGTTTGAGAAGGGGTCTTGGCCCCAGGTCCTAGACCCGGAGAGTAGATTTCAGGTGGGGACCAGGGGACTTCTCTTCTTTACTCCTCTTAGTTTAAGCTTTCTCAGAGACCTCCAGTTCCTACTCCCAGGATTAAAGAAACCTGTTGGCGTTGCCTTTTAACTTCATAAGGCTTGTTTCATTTACAGCCTTGCTGGAATAGCCATCAAGGGCCATTGTGCAGTGGGTCCAGGTTCTGTCTTCCCCTGTAACTGAATCCATCTATCCTCTGGAGAAAATCTCTCATCCCTCCTGTGGTGTTTGGATGAAATGGTTGTTAATGAAATGCAGCTAAAATGGGCTTGTCAAAGCTCACTCCTCAGTGTAAATCACGCTCGTTTAGTTTGGGATGCTTGCATGATGTTGTTTCTGACCCCCAGTGAACCCGTGGTTGATCACCCTCCTCTTACATTTTCAGCAGTAGAGAGGATGGCTGATGGGTGGGGATGTGTGGTGGTGCTGGGAAGCCCAGGAACTGAGTTTTTGCTTGTTGTGGCCTGTTGGGGCTTGTGTACTGGGGATAGGGACTTTACAAAAGTGCCGCCCTGCTATTGTCACCTTTCCCTGCATCAAATCCAATAGCTGCGGGAGGGACTTGCACTTGTCTGTGATAGCTTTGATAAAATATCCCTCATTTAATGCCACTTTATATTTACAGTGTGTCACTGGAGACGCACAAGGCTTCATTTAGTGTCTTGTGTGACGAGACAAGCTTGCATTATTTGCCTGGGACATTTTGGAGGAACAAGAGACCCATTGAGCAATCTTTTGAAATGAACAAATACGAAAAAAGGGGGGAATAAAAGAGCAGGCAGTTCTCCGGAACAAAGAGCTTTATTCATATGGATGTTGTACATGCTTTATCCAGTTTTCCCAATGGCCCTCCTGGTAAAGGCGAGTGGGACAGGGAAGAAGCCAAGGCAGGACACTGGCGCTTCCTCTCTTTTTTCCTGACTTCATTTTCTTATCTGACTTTGCCCTCGACTCCCTGGACTCGCTGCCTGCTCTGCTCAGCTTGCTCGGCTCCCTCTAAAACCCCAGAAGGTAATGGGTTCCTGGGTCTAAAAAGGAGATTTTGAAATCCTTTCTCCCAGCTCTGAACTACAGCGGAAGAAAGTGCTAGTAGCTACCTGTTGAGATGGATGGTCTTCGGTGGATATATCGGTTGAATGGAAAGAGATGTCACTTTTCTGTGACATGTGTGAGGAAGTGGTTGACAGTGAATGTCAGATGGGTAAGAGGTCTTGCAATTATAATATTAGCCTTACTATTTATTTTTAAAGAAATGCTGTGAAAACTAAAATCCAAAATTTTCATTATCATGAATGGTGCTCTTGGAGTTTTCAGTGACTTTTGCCCACACCTGGTACATTTTGGCCTTATTATACATAAGTGAATTTTTATTATTCCTTGGCCTGTATTGCTAAGTGATTTTCAGGCTTTAAAAACTTGATAATATTGCTGTGAATATAAACTGAATCTCTCAGTTTCTGTATGTGACATATTAATGCTTAATTGGCCACTTAGAATTTACATTTTAAAAATGGTTTTGTGTGTGCCTGTTTGTTTAACGGAAGGCCCATTTTTATGCAGGGGGATCTCTTAAACTGCACCAAACTAATCAATGTTATGATTTGAATGGAAATTTACCAGCATATAAAGAAATTTTATAAGAAATAAATCTGAAGGATTCAAATGTTGTATCTCTTTCTTGGGAAGAATAGTACTGACCATCATGCTGGGCATTTTCAACTGAAAATCCAGCATAGAAAGGAGAAATCACACAGCGACATCTGTTGCAGAATTGAAAATTTGCTGCTTCTAGTTGCAAGCAATTAGTCCTATATACGCACCTAATGGTATCAGCCTGTGTGTGTGTGTGTGTGTGTGTGTGTGTGTGTGTGTGTACTCACACAAATATGTATGTATCCACATGCATATATGTATATATATGGACGTATACAGAAGCTCAGCCAGTGTTCATAGTCACATTTAAAATTATTTAATAGAAAATATAACATTTTAATGCAAAGTTCTTCTTCTTAATATCACCTGTTGAGGAACTAGAGATTCTTATAATCATGGAATTTTTGAAAGGGGAAGGATATTAGAAATCATGTGGCAAAGTCTCATTATTTTGCAGTGAGGCAGCCAAAGCCCAGAGAGGGAGGGACCTTGCTTACCGCTGAACTGAGGCTGAGTTAGCTGTGCTTCCAGGATAGGGAGCTGGTCTCTGATGGCCAGCCAGTGAAGCTTCTCTTCCACCTCCTGGCAGGGATGCCCAGTAAGGGATATGCATCGTGGGTAGATGGTATCTTGGGTAGGAAGAGTTTGTATTCTGAAGGCAGCAAGAGTAATTATTGCTCTACGTAATAAACCGATGGATCAGAGGTGTGACCTCTGGGAAGAAAGGACTGGTTTTTGTTAAGGTTGTCTTTCGTGTTGACAAATCATTCTGAA